GTGACAGATCTTGGTGTTGTCCACGAGATGCTGTTTGCAGGGATGCAAAATGCAAGAATTAAAGGGTCACTGAGGCTTCCATCTAGATTTCAGAGGAAGGCCTGGGAGGCTAGGCAATATGTGACAGGGTCAGAGTCCCCACCAGGAGCCCCTGAGAGGGTGATGCATGAAATGGTGAGAGGCCGAAGATGCAATGGAGATCCCAGAAAGTTGGAGATGGCTGCATATGCAACATCTGCCAAGAAAAGCTATAGGTATCAAGCACAGTCACAAGCGAAAGGCCAGGTGGGATGTAATTAGTGAGATAATAGGGATGGGGCTGCAAAAGCCCTTTCTAAAGAGCACATTTTGCCACTGTGTGTCCTGGATCCCGGTCACAGGGCTATGGGACTTAAGGTGTTCCCTGCTGGGTTTCAGTCTTGCTTTGGTCCTATTCCTTTCTATTCCCTTATTCCTCCTGTTTGGAATGGAAATTTTTACCCTGTGCCATTGTATCATGGGCATATGTAATTTGCTTTTTAATTTTTATAGGGGTTCCCAGCTAAGAGCTGCCTTGAGTTCCAGAAAAGACTTTTGGATTCTGTAAAATATTGTAACTGTTGAGACTTTCACAACTCTGAGATATATCGAATGCAATTAGCATGACGAGATGGGCATTAGTCTTTGGGGGCCCGGGGCAGAATGCTATGGTTTAGACCAAACATCCTCAAAAGACTCGTATGTTCAGAGTTGGGGGTTTTGGAAGGTGATTAGACTAACTTCATCAAAGCATTACTCCACTGATGAGTTCATAGCTGAATGTGCTGTTAGGAGTTGGGGACTGGTTTGAGGAAGGTCTTTAGGAACATGCCCTAGAAGGGTGTACTCTTTTATTATTATTACAAGTTTATTGGTACATTTTAGGTATACAATATGATGACATTCATCATTGGGATCTTGTACCTTTACATGATGTATCTTGGTTCTTATTCTTTTCCCCATTCCCCTACCCTCCCTTCAACCCCTCCACCCCTCCCTATTTATAAAGACTTTGTTTCCCTTTTATCCTTTTCTCATATTCATTCCTTTCCTTTCTTTCCCTCACCCCTCTGGAAGGGTATATTCTTATCCTCAAACTTCCTCTCTCTTTGGGCCTCCCCCTACTGTTTCCTGACCCTCATGAGATGAGCAGCTTTGCTTCACCATAACATTGCTTCCTTGGAGATACCTGATCATGGATTGACCCTCTGAAAGCATAGGCCAAAATAAACCTTTTCTTGTTTAAGTTGTGTTTTTCAGGTATTTTGTCTCAACAACAGAAAGGTGACTAATATAATTTACGTATTAGTTACGATTGTGCAGAATCTTCACAACTGCAATCAGTGCCTTGTGTTTTCATCTTCTTAGATTATTTTACATGAAACTTTCATTTTGCTTCTCTGTGATTCCAGACTACAGCTTTTTTTTTGCTTAAGTATCTTACCTATAATGTATATCTATACATTCTCTGCTATTCCATCAACTGATCCAACCTCTATCCTCAAAAGTGTCTCATGTTAGTCCTCCTTGCTATCTTCTTACATAAGAAATAAATGCTTAAATACTATCTTGGAACTGTTCTTAGATTCCTCTGTGTATATTTCTCTTAAATATACATTCTTTGAAGAAACCATTTTCTGTTTATAAGTCACACCCAGTGCAGTTTGTACTCAATAACTGTCCAGTTTGCAAAGTAAATTAGTGGACAATAAATTTTATGTTTTAATATTTTAAAGAACAAATGGAAACAAATTAGCTAAGAAACTCTTCTGAGTTGTCAGTGAAATTACTACAAATTTTTGAGAAACCAGGTATTATTGAGGTAATTCCATTTTTATTTAGGAGTGAGCCAGTGTAGTGACACACGCCTGTAATCCCAACACTAAGGAGGGTAAGGCAGGAGGACTGCCACGAGTTCAAGGCCAGCCTGGACTACATACTGAGTTTAAGGGCACCCTGAATTACAGAGCAAGACCCTTACTAAAATAAGTAAATAAATAAATAAATAAATAAATAAATTTTTGAAAAAGAAATGAGTGGTAATTTTTGCATGCAAATTAGCCCATATTTTCTTCTATAAATTAGATTTATGACTGTTAGTTGAGGGATAAGATAAACATCATCCACAGCAGAAATTTAAACCGACAGTATTATTTTTACTTGAGATTCGCTGTATATAGCAAAAAGTATCACTTTCAAAAAAATCTAATGAAATTCTCATTTCAGCAATAATTCTATAAAATTCTTTGTCAGACTCTGAGAACAAGAGATAGCAAGACAATCCTCTTACACAGTCCCTTACCTCTAATGCTAGATGTCTCAAAACAGCAAAAGAAACTAAATACTTTCATTTTCTCTACTTTAAAATAACTTAGATAAGCATAAAAATAATACTGTGTGTTTGAGGACCAAGAAGGGATCTGCAGCTCTTCTGTTGAGATTAGGAAGACTCTGGATTTAGACACCAAACAAGCATAGTCCCTCCTCCTCCCCAAGCCTGGGTCGAAATGTTAAGAATATGAGGACAGAGACACTATTGTTACTTGGTTCTGGGGTCTCCTTCTAGAGGTGTTTTTTAGGTTCTTTCTATCATGAACAAAGAACTGGTCAAGACAAGCATAAAAAGTAGTAAGGTTTTACATTTATTAAGGGTAGGAAAAGAAAGATGCTCTGCAGAGAGAGTATGGGCCAATTAAAAGTAGGAAAAGAAATACACTCTACAGGGTGAGAAGAGACCACTGGGAAAGAACACAGTGGCCACAAGAAAAATGGCGGCAATCTCTTTTAACTCCCATTCTTCACGCTAATGTCAAGTCTAAGTTGTCCTATCAAATGAGTTCTGGTGAGAAGAACTGAAGATGACACTTCCTGATCATGGAACTATTTTTCTGTGTATACCCTGGCTGGCACACCCACTTTAACTCACTCAGTTTGTCATGCCCAAATTTGCCTCGTTTCCCTTGAGAGACACAAGTTCTCCTAATTCTTTATGGGGTGCTGAGAGAGTAGAGATCTCTGCAGTCATATAGCTACTCCCTGTGGAAAGGATTGTAGGCCCTTATTCTTGCTGGAGTTCTCAGGAGAACCGAAGATAGCACTTTCTGATTGGAACTTGTGTGTGCATGTCCTGGCTTGCCCACTTGCTCAGCTGGTCTGCTATGCCATAACCTGACTCACTATTAAGACAATCTAACAAGGGTAGTTTTTTTCATGATCTTCAATTATGAGCACCAAATTCCTAATTCCTTTTTTAGAGAAAAATTAACATTAGAAAAATAAGCCATAATAAAGACTGTTACATGAACCAAAAGCATGCCAAGTCTCTTTTAGGAGCTTGGTAAATATTCACAATGTCGATTAAGATGCCAAAAGTCATTGTTTGCATGTAAAGCTGTTCTTTCTCAAAGCACCTTTACCTCAGCATTTTTGGTCTCACTTGACTGAAAGCAGAAGTAGATCATCTTTACAGGGTCACTTCCCTTTTCTAAACAGTGAGGGTTGGGGCTGGGGATTTAGCTCAGTGGTTCCTGTGCCTGCCTTGCAAGCGCAAGGTCCCGAGTTCGATTTCCGGAGCCAAAAAAAAAAATCCAGGTGATAAACAGTGAGGATTAAAGAGTTTGGTGGTGTTTCAGGTAGGAAGTTCAAGCTGATACCCTATAAAGAACCCAACCCCTAACTTCAGAGTCCACTGGCATCCTTGCACTTTGACGCAGAGCTAGACCTCCCAGGGCAGACAAGGAAAACTGAGGTGTCAAAGAGGAGGAAGATGATCTCCACGAAGGTCATAACTGTGTTAGCAGTGAAGAGGTCTTATGCTGTGTCCCTCACAGCATTTGGCATTTAATAAGGTCTCAATATGTTCTTTCAATTTACTTTAAGAATCAGTTATGTTATCTAAAACTACTGCCATGGATTTAAAAGGTGTAACTGCAACTAGTATCTTTAAAATTTGGGTCACATGAAATCTATAGCCTTTAAACTGAAAAATTTCCTTTTAGACTCCAGGCCAATATACTCACCATTTAGTAGAGTCAGCAAATTGAGGGATATTCATGGCAACCTGTTCCACTTCCCTCCCTGAAAATCCATGTTCCTCCTTAAAACACTACAGAATTTAATTGGAAGAGCTGAAGGAGGTGATGATTCAAAATAAATAATCAAACTTGCCTTGAAATTCCCAAAATCTATCAGGATCTTTAGGGGTCATCAAGGTCCTTTTGCGCATAAAAGAATGAAAGAAATGACTCTTATCCAAAGCGATTATCTTCATTAATTCTTATGTTGAAAAGCAGAATCCAGATGTTAATACAAAAATTGCAACTTTACAATTTCTATGTTTCAATCAATAAAAACAGGCAGAAAGAAACCACAAGAAAATTAAAAACTGGCCACTTGGGTTGTATTATTAATACTTTAGTATTAGCATATTCATTCTCAAAATGGGAAGGAAACATCGCTTAACCAATGACTAACTTCTGATAAGCGTGTGGAAACATAAGCCACCGCGCTCAGTAAAACCCACGCAGTAGAAATGAAACGCTGCAGGGACGCGCCTTTCTACTGGCCTGGCCTGGCCTGCCCTGCCCTGAGCACCGCGGGCCCCAGGGCGCATGCCGCCCAGCGCCGAACCTCAGGTGCCCAGTCACAACTGCAGACGAACTTCCTCTTCCCGGCCGCTCAGGAGGCCGCAGGTCCCTGACCGTCCCGCCAGCCCTGCGCTCCCACCTGAGGATGTTGTCAGCGTAGGTGAGAAGCAGCTTGGAAGCCTCCAGAAAGGTCTCCGGGGTGTTCTGGCAGAGCTCGGCCACTGCCGGGGACGCCCAGCCGGAGGAGCTGCCCAGCGCCGCCGCCATGCCTGAGCGCCCGCGGCCGTCGCCGCCCCTCGCGCCTGCGACCTGCACTGAGCAGGCGCCGCAGCGCGCGGCCTGAAAGCCTGCCGGGTGGGGGTGGGGGCTCCTGTTCGCGGAGGAGGGCCGGCCCGGGGCGGGGTCAGCGCCGCAGAGCTGGGCTGCGGGCTGCAGCTTCGGGCGGAGGACGCGGGGTGAGTGTGTAGAGCTGCTGCCCGTCTAGAAACCTGGATTCCTCCGCTCCAAGGCCAGCTGGGAAGATCCAGCAACTAAGGGGGAGGAACCACGTGCACTTCCCTTTCCGCGGCACAAACAAAACAGTTTGACAGCCTTCCCTTGGCTGATAGCCTAGGTAAACGTGCAGTGGTGAAATACCTGAGAGGGAAGGAGCAACAGTCAAAAACAAAAAAGGCAATAAACTGCTGGGTTTCTGAAGGATTCTTTTCACAATTAGAGGAAGGAAAGGCTCTTGTTTATTACTGGGGATTGAACCCAGGGTCTTCGCACTGAGCTACATCCCTAGCCTTAAAAAAAAAACAAACCCAAAAAACTGAGACAGGTTGTTACCAACTTTGTTGGCATAAAACACACACGAATAACGGAATGAAATGGAGGAGGAGCAAGTGACTCATTTTGCAGGTATATCGTGATCAGTGCCCTTTATTCTTCCTAGAAAATGCATCCTTAACCTCTTTAATGAAGCCTCTGCTTCATCAAGCCCTTAAAAGTACACTTTACCAGTGACTTTCTTATTTTGCAGAAATTCCTTTCCAAACTTTAAATTATTTTTCTTGACCTTACGCTTTCATTTCCCCAAGTAACCTGTTTAAATGTTGATGTTTCGTCTTCTGTTTGCTTTTAACATGTGAAATTTTCCTTCAGTATCTCTAAGACCCTGACCTTTGGCATGAACTTCAGTTACCATTCGCCTGCCGAATGTTTGTAAGTTTTTCATAATTTAGTTTTGGTGCAAACTTCAAAAATGGTATGTTAAAAAAATGGTATGTTCAACAAATGTGTGTAGATAGCCGCTGTAACTAAAAATGTCAGTGAATGAAGTGATTTCTTTCCGGCTCACAACAGTTTATAGGGCAGAGGTAGTAGTCAGTGGGTCTAAGATCTTGGCATCCCTTGGAACATAAGTCAACAAATGTTTTCTGTAAAGGGCCAGAGAGTAAATATTTAATGCTTTATGAGTCATTGGGTAGGCCTGTCTTCACTAATTCTCCTTCTGCAATTGAAGTTCCATGCACAACACTTTAAAATGAGTGGGGGTGGTTATGTTCTGAATTTTTTTTTCCTTTTTCTAACAAGAAGCTTGTCCTGTTTGGCCTGAAGGCTATAGTTCGCTACCTCCTGCTACAGAACTTCTGAGGCTTCTGCTTCTAGCTAATGGTTGGGCCAGATGAAGGCACACCTACTTATTAAGCACGTGAGCCTGGAATTGACTTAAGGCATATTCTCTACCAGATCCTTGGCAAGAATGAGGTTACATCTAGATAAAAGGGAGAGGCTGGAGAGTGCAGTCCCTGGCTAGCCAAGCACCTCCTACAATTACAGGAAGGATGAATAAATTCAGACTTTTAATTAGCTGTGTCTACCACAAAATATGTTCCCCTTAATTTGGGTCTCTTTTTCCATCGGTATGTTTACTTATCCTTATAATAATTAAATAAGAGTATTCTATAGTATTTATGATCTTTGAAAAACTGAACCTCTTTTTCAAACAAAATCTTAGAAAAAAATCTCTAAATACTAAACAGCAAAGTTGAAGTGCTCTGGAATTAAAGCAGGGATGGGAAAGGGGTTAATGGTTATCTGTGGTTACTTTTGTGTGGGAACATACAACCACGATTTAAAAAGGTAATGCCGTAGGATTAATACTGTAATAATAACATCTATAAAATCATGGAAATCACCATTTCATTGTTTTAAATCATCTGAAATGTAAGGACTTCCAAATAACTCTGAACTTTTCTTTTTTTGGTGGTGGTAGTGCTGAGGATTGAATTCAGGGCCTCTAAAATGTACCACTGAGCTAAATCTCCAGCCCTTCTTTACCAACAATTCTATTAATGTCATTGAGTAATAGAAAAGAGAAGGAAGGAAAAAGTGAAAAAATTATTGAATATATCATTTATGAAGGTATTAAGGGAATTCATTATAAAGGAATTTATCCTAGTTTTGTCTCTTTCATTAAAATTGGAGGTATTTAGCTACCCTTAATTTCTTTGGTTTTGTTTGTTTGTTTTTTGTTTTTTGAGATAGGGTCTTACTATGCAGTTCAGGCTGGCTTCAGCACACTTTGTTACCTAGGCTGGCCTTGAACCTGAGACAGTCCTTGAATTTGAGACAGCCCTCTTGTCTCGGCCTCCCGAGTACTGGGATTATAGGTGTGTACCACCACACTAGCTCCTTAATTTCCTTATACCCATCATTGCTTCACACAACTAAAGTGTGATTGGCTTTGCACTTCCTTCATGGGTTTGTTGTTTTTCCTGTTTCAATGTAACATTTTTTTCTTTCAGGATTCCAGTAAAATAAATACACCATCATTAGAACTGTGTCATAGTGGCACTATTTTTAAATGGAATAGAAGAAATAATCCACTAAATTTTCCCCAGAATCAGTTTTGTCATTAAAAAGAAGAAAAATGTTCTCCATAAAGGCTATCAGTAAGGAGAGAGGTTGAAGCCTTTTAGGAATTGGTGTGTGATGACTTACTATTGTGTGATTGCATTAAGTGGTCAGTAAACAGCTATTCAGTGGCTGCTTTGTGCAAAGCAGTCTGAGATAGATGACATAAGAATTTGTTGTTATTGTTTTTAGACAGGGTCTTACTACAGTCCAGGCTGGCTTGTAGCTCAAGCTGGCCTTGGACTCCCAAGGCTTTGGACTCCTGCCTCAGCCTCTCAAGTCCTAGAAGGTGTATGCCACCATGATCAGGTTTTTTGTTTTGTTTTTTTTGTCAAAGAGATTTTTAATTAAGAAGGAAAGAGGAAACTAATAGTAACTTGTACATGGATAGCCATTTAGTTGATGAGATTAAAGTTACTATAAAAACAAAACTTTGGTGATAAATGCATAAAAAAGTGTATGTATAGTAGCCACTGTAAGGGTATATGCTGGTCTTACTTACATAGCTCAGTCTGGGCTTGAACTTGTGATCCTCCTGCCTCCAACTCCTGAATGCTGTGATCATAGGTGTGTGCCACCGTGCCTGGCTCTTTCCTGTGATTTTGATGCATAGTAAAATTGGAGAACTGCTAGTTTAAAAGGAAAATTTTATGGACTTAATGGAGGTGAAAGAAATTGGACAGAATCTTTAAATTGAGAGGTAAGGGAGTCAAAGATGACTTCCTAACTGGGAGAGAACCCTCCACACAATCAGAGACAGTATCTGTTATGGTTTATATCTAGATATCCCCCTAAAGCCTTATGCATTCATAGGTGGGGCTTTTGGGAGGTGATTGGATCATGGTCATTTTAGTCATTTTACTTATCTGTGGATCAGACCATTTATAAATTTATAGCTAAATTGGATTTGGGAGATGAAGCCTCACTGGAGGAGTTAGTTAACTGGGGGTGTGGCCTGAAGGAACTATCTCCCTCTCTCCTCCCTTGAACCTTCTGATTCCTGCCTGGCATGCCATGAGCAAGCCTCCTCTCCCACATCCTAATGCCACACTGCCCTACCTTGGAACCAGCCAATCATGGACTGAAATCTCTACAAACTGTAAGCCAAAATAACTTTTAACTTGTAGATGTGGGGTATTTTGTCTAGCTATGAGAAAGTAACTAAGGCACTATCCTAGCAGTATTTCCTTCTCAACCTTTCCTGCATCTCTCTTCTTTCCATTACCATAGTTTAGACCCTCATCCCTTTTCATTGAGCCTTAACTCTCTTCCCTGTCTTTCCAGTCCACCCTGTTCAGTGTGATCTTCCTAAAGCCCACATCTGATATTGTTTCTCTATAAGGTTTTCTATAGGTTCTCTTGCCCACATTTTCTTCTCCTCCTCCTCCTCCTCCTCTTCTTCTCTTCTTCGTTGTTGTCGTCATCGTCTTCGTCTTGGTCTTTGTCTTGCTTTGTAATTCAGGTTGGCCTTGAACTTACTATGTAGTCCAGGTTGGCATTGAACTCTCTGGCAATCTTCCTGCTTTGGCCTACTGAGTGCTGGGATTACAGGTGTGGGCTACCTACCAGGTTTGGCCCCTTGCCAAGTGATTTGGGGAGCCAAATAGGTAACAAATATATGAAATGGTTTTGTTCAAGAAAAATGGGAGTAAGGGAGATTCTGGTGAAGGAAAAGAAAGATTTTACCGTAACTTTCCTAGGGGAAATTAGATTAAATAATGTTCCAGAGCTGGGCGTGGAGGCACTCAACTATAATCCCAGCATTCGGGAGGCTGATGCAAGAGGATCACCATGAGTTGGAGGTCAGCCTGGGCTACACAGTGAGACCTTGTCTGGAAAAAATTGTTTCATTCCAAATTAGACCAGGGCTGCTGGCATATGATCTTTAACCTATAAGAAAATAAAAAGGCCTCAATGTGTCACCCAAAGCATTGTGATCTGGGTCTCTTTGTGATCTTACTCTAATGTTGCTTTGTCCCACACCTCAATTTTGACATTGATCATATGCAACAACTCTGTAGTTTGTGGAAGATACCCTGATACTTTATCCCTTTAGGCCTTTGTTCTAGTCTTCCTGACAGGATGCCCTTTCCCTCCTGATTTACTAGACAAATATCCACTTATTTCTAAGATGAAGTTCAAGGATCACTTCTTTGAACCCTTGCCTTACTTAAAAGGTAGCATTAACCTCACTGTACCTTTTGTATTATAGTAAATCTATTATATTCTATCATAGCATCTGTTTCAGTAGTTCACACATACTTGTTTCCATGGCTGTCTCCTACTGGACTATGAACATCTTGAAAACAAATCATAACCCTATTCGTTTTTGTGTTCCATCTTCTAGCACAAGATAGAAGAAATATGAATGTCTGTTGAAAATATGAGCATAGGTTTAGAATGAGGAAAAACTAGGGTGGATCAAGAGATCACTAGTGGGCTGGGGTTTGTAGCTCAGATATATAATGTTTTCCTACCAGACCCGGGGCCCTGGGTTTGATCCTGCCGCACCACAGCAGGAGAAGGGTGTCAGTTTGATGGTAGAAAGCTTATTTAATAGAAAATGGAAGCCATAGTTGTGACTAAGAGTATAAAGAATTTAAGCCTAAGAAGTCTTATGTTTATAATAAGTGGAGCCAGTTTGAAGATTTTAGTTGAAGAAAACACCGTGGCATTATAGCAAGAAATATAGTACTAAATCATATACAGCTATAAGAATTATAAAAAGTTCTCATCCCTTCCAGAGGAAAGTAAAAATGATCAGAGGTAGAAATAAAGATGGACTTTTACTTTTCTGTAAGATTTTTAAAAATAAATTTTATTTTATCTTTATCCCCCTTTTTTGTAAGATTTTAAATGATCAGTTGCTCCTTGTCCAAGATTACAAAAAAGAAAAAAAAACTCCAACCCAAATCAGACATTAAAACTGTATGTTTCATATCAGTTTATCTTCAAAGAAGATTTTAGAGGTCTTTTCACACTGTAATTTAAAAGTATTGTATAACAATGAAAAAAGGGCAAGTTTGGGCACTTCTCACCCATCACGATATTTAACGTGTTTATTTAAATTTTCATTAAGATAATTCTATTTTCATGGAATGAAGACAACACAGTAAGTACTGAGAGGTAATTGGATAGGCCCAGGATCAAGGATGACTGAACATCACAGTGGGCTTCCCCACAGTATTTTAGACAAAATAAATTTCCAATTTCATTTAAATATATGACTAACCAGAAAAGGCTAATCTCGACCCAAATTCTTTTCCAGAGGCTGGAAAGGACAAGTAATCTACTTGGTAACAATGGCTTCAAGAGGTTATCAGCTTGGAAGAAACATAAATTTAACTAGAAAGTTCAGGTGCATATTTTAGTCAACCACCTGAGACATAGATGAACAACGAATGGCCAATAAATACCATCTGATGACTTTTTATATTTTCATGTTAACATTTTCCCTTTAAAGAAACATAGCCAGCTCTAAGCAAATAAATGATAATTTCAGACGTTTAGAAATGTCTCCATTCTTTAATTTTGTTTCCCTTCTATCAGACGTTGGATATGGTATTGTGGACAATTTTTCAGAATAAAAAGCTATTATTACAAAAGTATTGTTTGATTACTGTAGAAAAGGTAGCAAAACTTAGGTAAGCAAAGGTATGCTGGGGAACAACATACTCATCGTACTTGTAGATCTTTAAAATTATTTTTTAAAAGTGAATATGCTGTGTACTATTTTGTAACTTTTATCGCCTAGGACTCAGTATCTCTGCACATAAATAAGTTCTCACCTGTAGAATTATTTTAAATGGCTCCCTGGTGTTTGGATGTAGTGCAAATTATACAACCCATGTCCTGACGTTTGGCATTTCTCACTATTAGAAATAGCATGGAGAAGCTCAGTAGTAGCTTTTTAGATTACAGTCATTTCCTTTCCTAGGATTTCAGTGGAATATGATGGCGTCCCTTCTCTGCCAACATGGGAATATTTAGGTATTACCAGTGCCTCCCCTGAAAAAGTTCCTTTGTGCTGGGCGCAAATACTATCTTATCGCGTTATGCGCAGGTCTTTGACTACCTGCGAGTCACTGAAGGACAGTACTGAAGAGCATCTCTAAGAAACCTGAGAGGACCCAGGCAGACTTCAGATGACCGACCTCAAGACAAGGCGACGCTGCGCAAAGTCAACAGGCTGAAGCGCGCTCCTATGTGACGGCTGCGTGCGTAAGTACGTGTGTGCGCGCGCGTGCGCACTCTGGCTTCAACGCTGGGGACTAGTGGCTTGGTCGGCGTAAGCCCTGTTACAGGTATCGGCTTCTTACAGTTCTATTTATGTCTCTCCACCCTCAGATTGGGTCAGGGTTAGGTTTCGAGAGGAAAGTCGGAGTACTCAGGGCTTGATTTCGTCTTGCCTGGTTTTCTTCGCGCGGCGCGCGCGTGTGTGTGTAGGGGGGAGGGTGGTTGAGAACAGCTACACCCCTTTACTCCCGCGCCTGGGTTTGTGATAGTGCTGGAGTGATCAGCTCGTCTTAACCTCTCCTTGCACAGGTGATTCGATTGGAGAAGTTTAGAGGGATGCAAACTTCCCCTTCCTCCAGTTACAAGTTTAGTCACAGTCAGTTCTCCGCCCACATCTCCAGACGCTTAATCCCGGGCTTTGGTACTTCCGAAAAGGCTGGGGTATCCCTAGGTATTGAGGATGAATAAAGCCCACTTATCCACCTCAGCAAATAGGCCCTGAAAGGTGATTTCTGTGCCGCAGACACCAGAAATAGTACTTAAAATAAATCCTAAGTATCCTTTAAAAAGATGCTTTTTGCAGTTCGTATCACATTAGGAGTGCCATGATATTTTTCATCTTATAATTGCTTTAGTAAATCAAGTGAATCATCAATTCACTTCTTTGTCTTCTGATATCAGGGTGGCTATGGTCTGAAAGGTGGTTTGATAATGAAGTATAAATTAAAATGATGTTATGTTTTTTGTGCTTGTTAGCTCACATCAAGCACCTAAAAGAACATCTAGAGTGCTGTTAGACTCTTAAGCTATTTAAACAATGAATAGTTCCTGGCTATTTTGTGGTTTGTTGCAGGAATCTGTTTCTGATCATCTGAAATCTCAGCCATGTGGTCAAACTGCTTAGGAAATTTCCTAAAAGTTGCAAGCACTCATCTTCCACATTCAAGATTGTGCCAGCGGTTAATAAGAAATAAAAGGAGGCTTTTTGGAACAGTGCCGACACCCAGATTGCATAGGCGGGTTGTCATTACAGGAATTGGTTTAGTGACTCCTCTTGGTGTTGGAACTCAGCTAGTATGGGATCATCTTCTCCAAGGACAAAGTGGAATTGTTTCACTGGTTGGTGAAGAGTATAAAAATATCCCTTGCAGTGTTGCTGCTTATGTGCCAAGAGGTTTTGATGAAGGTCAGTTTAATGAACAAAACTTTGTGTCCAAATCAGATGTCAAGTCCATGTCTTCTCCCACCATCATGGCCATTGGGGCAGCAGAATTAGCCTTGAAAGATTCTGACTGGCATCCTCAGTCAGAAGCTGATCAAGTGACTACTGGTGTTGCAATAGGGATGGGAATGGTTCCCCTTGAAATTGTTTCTGAAACTGCTTTGATGTTTCAGACAAAAGGGTACAATAAAGTCAGTCCATTTTTTGTCCCTAAGATTCTGATTAATATGGCAGCAGGCCAGGTCAGTATTCGCTATAAATTCAAGGGCCCTAATCATGCAGTATCCACGGCCTGTACCACAGGAGCTCATGCTGTGGGAGACTCTTTCAGATTTATAGCCCATGGTGATGCTAATGTAATGGTGGCTGGAGGTACAGATTCTTGTATTAGTCCTTTATCTCTTGCCGGGTTTTCCAGAGCCCGAGCTCTGAGCACAAACTCAGATCCTAAGGTGGCATGTCGACCATTTCATCCAAAGAGAGATGGTTTTGTAATGGGAGAAGGTGCAGCTGTGCTGGTGCTGGAAGAATATGAACATGCTATTCAAAGAAGGGCCCGGATCTATGCAGAAGTTTTGGGCTATGGACTCTCAGGTGATGCTGGTCACATCACTGCCCCTGATCCTGAAGGACAAGGTGCCTTAAGGTAAAGACTGGTTGTTTTGTTGAAAATATTTTTTCATACAAATCTGTCGCAGTTTCAAATTAGAAAAAATTGTAATGTCTAGTCTTGTTATACAGTATCTATTGTTTTTCCATTTTAAATTAACCAAATTGTTTTTTAATTTTTTGCTTGAAATATTTGAACAACTTTACAGAAATTATATTTTAGTTAAGGCTAGTAAAGTTGTGACGGGAACTGTATGTCTTTGCTGCTTTTCCAGGCCTCCGTTTGTGCTTAATAACTATCAGTGTATATCCTCTCACCTTTCTGCTTTCTTCGCTTCATCAGACTTAGAGAGTAAAGTCAACCCTTCTATATGTGTCTGGTCTGTGCTCCATTCCAGTAAGGTTCTGTTGTTTTCAAATCAGCCTTCTCAAACTTTAATCACTGAGGGATCTTACTGAAATGCTGATTCTGACTGTGGGTCTAGGGTAGTTCTTGAGATTCTACATTTCTAACAAGATCTTAGGTAATAATGATATTACTGGTCTAAAGGCTACACTTTAAAAAGTGACTTAACTTTTGTAGAAGAGATAAATAATAAGTTGAGGTTAAAAAAAATCCTTAAAATAAGTTCTTAATGGGTTAGCTTTACTCAGTTAAATTAACCAGGAGTTAGCAAACCTTTTCTGTACAGGGACAAACGGCAGGTATTTTTGTCTTTGTAGGCCACATGATCTCTGTTGAAACTACTGAACTTTGCACTTGTACTATGAAAGCAGTCATAGACAATAGTACATAAATGAATAGGTGTGCCTGTGTTCCTGTAAAAATACAGTTTTTACAAAAGCAGACATCTCTACAGAACCATAGTTTACTGAGCTCTAAATTATACTTTTGAGTTTTAGGAAGTACTTACTGGTGCTGGACATGTTAAGCATAGTAACTAGCTAGATGCAGAAATAGTTATCTTTAGGGGAAACCTTTCAGCACAATAAAAATTACACAGAGAGCTGTCTGTTAATAAATATATGCAGCCTAGAGATCAACTACGAAAAAGATACATCCAGATTTTTTTTTTTTTTTTGAGATGGGGTCTGTGTAGGACAGGCTGGCCTTGAACACGCTTACATAACCTAGGCTGGCCTCCAGCTCATAGTGATCCTCCTGCTTCAGCCTCCCAAGTGCTGGGATTATAGGTGTCCACCACTACCCCCACATGACATCCACATTTTTTTTGGTTTTGCTTTTGGTTTTGGTTTTTTTGGTACTAGGGATCAAACTCTGGTCCTTGCACTTGCGCAGCAGGCAGCAAAACCACTGAGCTAAATCCCAGGCCCAACATCCACATTTTTAAAAGTTACTCTAGATAATTTTTATCTTTAGATTTGTTTGTTGTTTGGCTTCTGTGTTTATTTACAATTCTTCTAGCATAAAAGGATTTTGAAAGGCATTTGAAGTACTGAAGTAATAGATTACTGGGAAATAATGTCAAGTTTTGCATTTAAACATGAGAGGAAACTTAGACTATAGTTTCATATCTTTCCCCATATTTTAAATCTCCAGCTTGCCTCTGCTCATAAAAAATTCCTAGAAGGAAGTTATTCTAGTCTCAAGTCAACATGATTTTTTTCCCAAGGAAAAAAATATGCCAATTCAAATAAATGGAATTATATTTTATTATATTATACAGTCTTTAGTGTGTTCAGTTTATGGTGATGAATCAGTCCAAGGGACTCATCATTCCCATGTAGACCGCATTTAACACACATGGTAATCCAAGATGGGATTCATTCATTGAGCTCAGATACCTATATTTCTTTTGCACAAGCCATTCAGGTAAAGAATCTGTTAAAACTATACTTAGTTCTGATAAATTAAATTTCTTTTCTTGTTAGATGTATGGCTGCTGCTATAAAAGATGCAGGTGTACAACCTGAAGAGATTTCTTATGTCAACGCACATGCTACTTCTACACCACTGGGAGATGCTGCTGAAAACAAAGCTATCAAACATCTCTTCAAAGACCATGCGTATGCCCTTGCAGTTTCCTCAACAAAGGGAGCCACAGGACATCTGCTGGGTGCTGCAGGTGTGGTTGAGGCCGCTTTTACCACACTAGCTTGTTACCATCGAAAACTGCCACCTACTTTAAACTTGGATTGTACAGAACCAGAATTTGATCTCAATTATGTTCCACTAAAGGCACAAGACTGGAAAACTGATAAAAGGTGTATTGGACTCACCAATTCCTTTGGTTTTGGTGGTACAAATGCAACACTTTGTATTGCTGGCATGTAGACAAATCATGTGTAATTAAACATTGGCTTTTAAATGTAAATATAGAAATTACATCTATAAATGTAATACTGAAATATCTTTTATCTATGTTAAGGTTTCTCAACCTTGGCACTATTGGTATTGGTATAGGATTAATTCATTGTTGAGTAAAAGAAGGCTGTCTTGTGAATTGTAGGATGTTTAACAGCATCTTGGTCTCTTCCTACTAGATTCCAGTAACAACTCCTTCCTTAATCGTGACAACCAGAAGTATCTCCAGATATTGTTGGAAGACAAAATAACCCACCCTTAAGGACAGCTGATCTGTTTTCCTAATATTCTAGATCAGACAACTTCTATGATATTTCATGTACTTCTATCCATTTTACAGATATTTAGAGAGCAGCTCCTCTTGCTAGGCAGGGTTGCTAAATGGTACAATTCTAGGTACATTATTCAGATTATTCAGTATATAGGAAGGAATATATAGTTGCACGTTTTCATCATCAATCAGCATTCTTTGAGTATAACTGTCAGCCTGAAATGATCTGTTTTCCCTTTAACCTATTTCATCCTGTTTTCTTTGTATTACCTGTTCTGTAATTCAGTAAATTAATGAAATTTCCCTAACCCCCCAAGCTATTGGTTCTCTGAAAGAAGGAAGTAAAAATGAATTGGCATTTATCCTGGCATCAAGTGATTAACAGAGATAAAGATTTTTGAAATAGAAATTGTTAGTGACTCAGGCCATATCTGTTCAGCCTAGCTCTTTGCAGTTATGGTGGTATCCTTTGTTCCTCCAGGTTTTTCACCACGAGTGCTGGTGGACCTTCTACTTTTCTGCCTTGAGGATTTCTCAAAGCTAAATGATCTGGTTCATTCCCAGAAGGCTGGAAATGCTGGGGCGGGGAGGGCCAGGGGCTCACCAGAGGCGGCACTCAGCCAGTGAACATGACAGCTGGTAAGTAAGAGCCTCAGCCTCCCTTTAGAGGAAGAGCTACCGTAAGGGTTGCCAGTAAGCTGGAGCTTCAGTTGCCCACGGCATTAACCAACTCAGTAATATCCCCCTTACTGGCTTTTTTTCTTCCCTGTTCCTCTTTCCTGTTTTTTGTTTTGTTTTGAGACAGTATCTTGGTATGTAGTTCAGGCTGGCCTTGAACTGGTTGTGATCCTCCTGCCTCAGCCTCCTGAGTGCTAGAATTACAGGCATGTGTCACCATGCCCAGCTCCTCTTTCCTGATTTTTAATCCTTTTCCCAAACAAACCTTTTCTCAGGCTCTGCTTTTCGAGTGACTCAAACTAAGACAAAGTTTTTGTTGTAATAGAAGTTTATCAATAGGATAGAGTGAAAAAGGGTAAATGAGATGTGTGTATTCTGGCACTAATGAATAGGATTTTTCACATCTTCGTAGGCCATATGTATTGGCTATCCATTGACCTTATAGCATTTTATCCTTTATATGTCCCAGCCATGTGTTCACATAGTTTTAGGGTTTATGTCTGGATGTCCCACAAGGGCCTCATGCTTTCATAGGTGGGACTTTTGGGAGGTGACTGGACCATGGGACCATGATGCTTATCTGTAGCCACTGATGAATAGCTAAATGTGATTTGGGAGCTGAAGCCTGGTTGGAAGAGGTGGATGGCCTGGGGTATGGCCTGAAGGGTCTCTTTCCTTCCTTTCTTGAGCCCTCTGCTTCCTGCCTACCATGCCATAAGCAAGTTTCCTCTGATATGCGACCCTGCCTTGGAGCCAGCCAGTTGTGGCCTGAAACCTCTACAAACTGTAAGCCTTTCCTCCTTTAATTTGTAGGTGTTGGCCATCGTGCCCCAGCGATGAGAAAGTAATTAAGACACATAGCTATGTAATCAGCTTTAATTCCCACTAATATTTAGTGGTTCAACTGAAACTTACTGCGTGCTAGCATAGACCTGGCTTTGTACTGGTCACCAGTGATAAAGAGAAAATTTCAGGGAAGATTTTCTGAAGGAAGATGTGTATGTATGTGTGTACAGATTGGTCTCAGATTAAGGGAAAAGATGGGAAAGGAAAGATACTCTAGCCAGTGGGAATTCACTGTGAGAAAGTCTAGAAGTTAGAACATTTATCCTAAACATAACTATACTCAGGATTAGGCAATAATGTCAGAAAATCTGGGGGAAGTCAGCTTTGCTAAGGCAATAAGGTAATGGGAGGCCATTTGAGGTTGGAGATGGTGTGATAGCTTTGTAAGGTTTCAATTTGTCTAGGTGGAACTACATTTCTCAGCATTCGCACTACTTTTGTTTTTGCTTAGGGTTGACCTTAAGAGGTTTCTTATGGGAGGTTGGAGGATGGAAGTGAAGCAACTGCTATTTTGTAGCTGATACATATTGCTTATCTACTTCCCCTGGCTCCTCCTTTAGCTTCCCTGATTCCTGAACTGGCATGTGTTTAGCTCCATCATAATAAAGGACTCTAGCTTCTCTCCTATACCACAAATGTCAGAAGAAGCGAAAAGTGACAGGTTTTGGTTGTTCTTGTGTTTATGTTTACAGGAAACTTTACTTTTTTTTTTCCCCAGTACTGGGAATTGAATTCAGGACCTTGCGCTTGCCAGGCAGGCGGGCACTGCTGAGCTAAATCCCCTGCCCAGCAGGGAACCTTACTTTTGTCTTTCTAACACTCAGCCTTGTGGACTTCAAACTCCAGCATCAGAAGATAGTTGAACATAACAGCATTACAAAAACTGTATAGCCAGTTCTCAAAATATCTAATCCCTATAACAAATATCTGTAGATTTCTATATCACAGTGATTGTTTTTTTCTAATTAAATTCTAACTGATAAATGTGAAGAATGAGAGTTGTTAGTGTGACATACTTTACATTTTCTTTTAGGAAATATAACTGGTTCCAGAGTGAAGGACAGATTGGAGGGAAGCTTAATTCTCTTAAGGAAATACAGTCAGAAGGATATTGCAAAATCTGAGTTTAAAAAGGTGCTGATCTGGATGAAGCAGAATATCTTGTCTCAAGTTTCTTCCAAAGTTGAAAATTGTGTTTTAAAAAATCAGCCTTATCAAAGCATTGTTTAAGTTCAATAAATACATCCATTTTCAGTGGAGTTCAGTGAATTTTGATAAACATGTACATATGTGTAACTACCACTTTTGTCAAACTCGAGAACATTTCATCACCCTCAAAATTCCATTGTTACCCTTTGCCATCAATCCCCTCTGGACCCTTAGATTATCACTGCAGAGCTTTCTGAGACTAGGTGAGATTTGTTTTTTCTAAAATTTCACGTAAATGGAGTTGTAGCTTCTTTCATGTTCTTGAGGTTTATCCATGGTATTACCAGTAATTCATTCCTTGTATTCTTGATCATTTTTACTCTTTAGTCAACTTAGATACCCTTGACTTTTACTCTGTTCCTAATCCCTACTTTGCTAATTTTTAAATTTTTGACTTTATCCCACTATTATTTTTTAATTGACTATGTATTGCCTTTTGAACAGAACAAAGATAAGAATTAAACTGTAGAACTGAGATAGCTTTTAAAGCAAGTAATCTTTCCCCTGAAAATAGAAAATTTGAGAGTATATAACAAAGGACACCCATTTATGTAAATTATTGAGATAACTAGACACACTGCTAGAAATTTGAAAATTTCCTATGTCCTGGCACCACCAGGACTAATTTTAGATTCAAGTATCTCATACCTTACATCTTTACAGTTAAAGAAGAAAAAGAATTTAATAAAAATAATTGTTAGTGCTTACATTAGTTCAGATTCTCTGAGAAACAGATACCAAAACCATTTCCTGTACAAGAAGTGTATTGGGGAAACACTCGTGTGGGATAAAGGATGAGAGACTGATAAAAGCCTGAAGGCATGAGGGAGAGAGGCACGAGAATAAAAGAGAATTGGGTACACAAGGTTTCAGACTGAAGTGCCATCCTGTGAAAGCTCTGGGCAGGGTCTGGGAAGGTCATGATTGAAAAGCTCTCATTAAAGGAGTTTTTCATCTGTCAGGGATGGACCTGCATTACTACCCTCACTGTGATTGGCGACTGGCTGGGAGCTGCCAGGGCCCACCAGGAGATCTGGTCATTTTTCATTACCATTATAATCTACCCCCTTGCACCACAGAGAGAAATCTAACCAAGTGGGCTTGGTATGGGGGACAGCTTCTTTGTGGTTCCTGTTGGTCTGTCTAAGGAACAATTTTTATTTTATTTATTTATTTTTATTTTTTTGGTACCGGGGATCGAACTCGGGTCCTTGCGCTTGCACAGCAGGCGGCGAAACCACTGAGCTAAATCCCCGGCTGGAACAATTTTTAGAAGACAGAATTTGGTAGGGTAAATAACCCATGATGGTGCAGTTAGTCTAAGGTCTACAGCTGATTATTTATCCTTTTCCAAATCTGCTATTCATTCTCATCCTCATTTATCATCTTGGCAGGTCTGGTGGCTTCACTGATTATGTGGCCTAAACCTTTACTCCTATATCCTTTTCAGAAGGAATGTGTACCCTTTGCAAGACCAGGACATCTGACAGTGCAGATCCCAGAGTTGCAAAGATGAGAAACAAAATTCCTTATTGTGATTGGCTCATTAGAACTGATGGTAAATGGGGCCGCTTCTGTTTTCCAACACTCTTAGATTTTGAACTCATGTGATCTTCTTACTAGAGACTTAGAGTATAGAAGTCTTTGGTTTTTAAACATCTGCTGCATCCTGCAGATGGCACTATGTCCATTCGGAATGCTGCCTCTGTGCTGGTGATTCTTGTATACCTTTAGAAGGTGGTTCTAGTTTCTTTGGGGCTGGCTGCTTCTGGATAGTGTGATACATGAGATTCAACCCATGGATCCCATGGTCCTAGGCCTACTTCCAGGAGGTATTTTCTGTTTTGTACATCACACCCTCATTCTCTGATGCTACGTTTTAAAGGATTCCATGCTTGTGGATCAGTTATTCCATAAGCCTGCAGATAGTGGTTGTGGCTGAGGTTCTGTGGTCAGGGAAGGACAACCCATATGTGAAATAGGTAACCATACACATGAGGATGAACCACAGTACTTTCATTTGAGCTAGACAGACGTTCACAGGCAGCAGTAGCTAGATGCATCTTGTAAGTAGGAGCTTCCATCTCTTCCATTTAGCTGTCTCTTTCATGTGGCTTCTATCTCTACCATTTTTCTTTGCCAGCTTCCTTTTGTTGCAAGTTTTGAGATGACCAATGGCAAAGGCTGGCTAATGTCAGTTGGCAGAATTACTTGGTTATTCACTTCCTCTACTGTAATAGATGTGCTTTCTGGTGGGTACAGCAGTCTTTACCCTTCATAAACTGTCATTCACATTCCTTTACTTGAAATATTCCTCTTCTCTACCTATCCTTGTTCTTTTACACTCCTAACCAAAATCCAAGCCTTTGGCCACTACCCAGTAATTTTTATATAAAAAATATACCTCTTTTTTATGTAAAAATATACCTCGGGTCATTTCTGCTGTTCAGAGTGACTGTCAAGATACAGCTTTGCCTATTGGGGATATTTTACCTCAGCAGTGTCTTTTTGGTCCACCCCTGAATTAATTTCTTTCTTTCCTCCCTTCCTTCCTCCCTTCCTCCCTCCCTTCTTCCCTCCCTTTCTCCCTTTCTTCCTTTCTTTCTAGGGTCTTGCTATGTAGTTCAGGCTGGCCTCAAACTCTCAGCAATCCTCCCTGCCTCAGCCTCCTGAGTACTGGGAGATTTGTGCCACCACACCTGTCTCTAATGTTTCTTTAATGTAGTTGCCATCCATTTTTCAACTTGAACTGAAAGAACTATTTAGAAGGTAAAATCAGTGGGCTCTAGTAATAAATGACCTCTTTCTTCCCTAAATTCCCCTTCTTCTTCTCTAGTGTCTGTTTTTCTTAAAATATAAATTTCATCAGAATAGGGATTTTTTTTTTTGCTTCCTTCACTATTATCCCTGCTTCATAAAACTTTGCCTGGAACAAAGTCTCAATAAACATTTGCTGAATGAACAAATGAATGAATTTTAATAAATTGTTTTGCCAATTACCTAGTGATTGGCTTACCATCCTTTCTTTTTTTTTGGTACCAGGGATTGAACTCAGGTCCTTGCACTTGTGCAGCAGGCAGGGAAACCACTGAGCTAAATCCCCAGCCCTGGCTTACCATCCTTTTTATCTAACCTAGCTCATACCACAAGAATGATGAGTCATTCCTGATTCCTTCCCTTCTTTCCTTTTCCTAATCCTGCAGCTGATCATACTTACAAAATATTCCCTTCATTTCCACCAAAATTATCATCTCTTTTCTGGATTGCAATGATAAACTGTTTTTTTTTTTTTTGGTAGTGGGGATCAAACTCGGGCCCTTGCACTTGCGAGGCAGGCAGCGGAACCACTGAGCTAAATCCCCAGCTCAATGACAAACTTTTTGATCTTTCTGTTTCCATTACCCACTGCTTTCTAAAACACCTTCCATCTTATCATAGCTGAAAATTGATCTTTTCATGATATAAATTAGATCATGCCATTTTCCCTCAGAAAAACCTTCTAATGGCTCCCCATTTGACTTAGGATGAAACTTGAACCCTGACCATGAACTGCACAGTCCCTGGCTGCACATGACCTCCCTCTTAATCTTACATCTCACAGTTTGCATGCAAGACATGCTGGTATTCTTTCTGTTCCTCAAATGCAACATACTCATCTCTACCTTTGCATTTACTCTCTCTTGGCCTGAATCAGTTTTATTTTTAAATTTATGTGAACACTGGCTTCCTCTTTTGATTCAGGTTTCAGTACACAGTTCTCAATCACAGAGGGCTCTAGTTACCCAGTCTAAGGTAGCTAATCCCTCTCCCTCTCCATCTTAGAGCCCTGTTTTGTTTCTTCCTATCTTGTACTATTAAAAATGATCTATTCTTTTTACATTTATCTTTTGCACTTTTAATTTCCTTGTAAGAATATTCCTCTTCTTGGGGGGAAAGAACGTATTGACCTCATGAACAAAAACAGTATTCCTGAACAAAGCAAAATGTATGGCACACACGTGTGCATATATGCCTATACATACTCAAGCATACATTCCAATACAAACAAAAAATTTGTTCCAACAATAATGGGAAATATCTCTAGGACCTCAAAGAAGAACAGTATATTCGTGTTATTAAAAAACCAAGAGAGTTGTTACTGTCGAGAAGATAAACCTAGCCACAATTAGTGCATACCGGAGTCTAGTTATTTGGAATTCAGCTTTGATCTTTGGGAGCAATAAGGGAAAGATGATTGGTATCATGGCAATTTCTTTGGAATTGTTTCACACTGTTGACCTAACTTGAATTATAAAGAGACTATGTGGTGTGATCAAAAGATGTTTGTTTGTTTATTTGGAGGTAGGATCTCACTGAGTAGTTCATGCTGGGCTTGAACTCACTGTGTAGCCTAGGCTGCCCTCAAACTCATGGTAATCTTCCTACCTCAGCCTCCTGGATACTGGGATTACAGAAGTTTGGTACCACATCTGGCTAGATAGTAAATGTTTAAATTTTTCTTATAATAAAAGACATATTGGGATTAATCTGCCTCAAAATATTCCCCTTTGCTTTGAACACACTTATCCCATTGTTGTTGCCACTTTCTGAAGCAGTTCTGGAAGCCCTCTTTTGTGTGTGCACTGACATGGCTATCTTGATGTCTGGAGTCAATTCAAAATTTTTCTTTCTGTGGTCATATTGAAGTTGCATGGTGTTAGACGTGGTGAATAAGGTGGATGAGGACATACCATAATGTTTTTACAAGCCTGCCTTTCTGTTGGATGGCGCTCAGCAGCAACATGCACTGTATTTTTTATCGTATCTCCTCCACACTTATGAAAGAGGACTTCTAGAACTGCTTCAGAAAGTAGCAAGAATGATGCAATAAGTGTGTGTGAAACGAGGGGACTATTTTGAGGAAATTAATGCCACTGTGTCTTTTGCTGTAATATACATTTCTTAATTTTTTATTTAAACATTTGCCATAGTTTATAATCACACTTCATAAATATGTTATCTTGAACAAAAATGGCTCTAGCTCAGGATTCAGTCAATTGTTTTCTGTAAA